ATGCAGCATCCTCAGCTACCTGAGGATGAGAGGCTTATGAAATGCCATCCGAGTTGCCCTTTCCTCTGAAGTTAAATACCTTCTCTGTTTCCCTTCTCTTATCCCTTATTTCTCACGTCTCCTCCTTAGCCCTTATCTGCAAACGGAAAAGTCATTTCTGTAATAGAGTTCTCTGAACGCCCTGGGAGAGAATACCATTCTGCCTGGAATGGGAGGTCTCTTTTTCTGACATTCATTTTGTCTCAGGACCACTCATCCTCCCCTAACCCTCGAACTGGGAAGGAAATGGTGCAGAATGTGCATCTGGCCGATCCAGGAGGCAGACGCGGTCCTACAGACACCTGATTAGATGTGCCCGGGCCTCCTGACACGGAGGAAGGAACTTTGATTGTGGAGTAAGGAGCTGCCATTTCCAAGCGTCCCCTTCCAATCAGAGCTTCCCCCAATCAGCTTCTCTAGCCATTGCGTCACCCGTAGCCATAGCGATTCCTCAGTCCCGCCGCAGACACCCTGACACGCCAGGGCCCAGGTGCCCACCGGGGAGGCCGCTGCAGCAATATGTAGCCCAGTGCTGAGGCCTGAGAGCCCCTGAAGCAAAAATGGAAAATAGAAAGGAAAAATGCTGACTGCGTCAATGTGACTCTTTTCATTAGGTTGAATGAAAGCCTTCTGTGGATAGGCCAGGCTCAGCTTTGCGATGTGCAGTGACACCCGCGAGCTGCCAAATGATCCACAGGCCCGAGGGGGTGACTTTGGGGTGCATTCCACGTCAGAGAGGGGGAAGGTGGCCTCTTCAGGAGAAACATGAAGGCCCCTGGGACATGTTTCTCTGCGTGGTAACTCCGAGCATTGAAAGAGACATGGCTCTCTGGATGGTTCAGCACTTAGCAGCACTCAGAGTCCAAATGAGACTTTTGGTTGAGCAGTCCCCCAGGATATATTCAGCCTCAGTGAAGGCACAAAGCACAGTTCCGAAGGGATCTCGGCAAGAGCCTGGGTTCCCGTCGCTCCTCCCAATGACACCCCGAAGACCGCATCCATCTCCCTCTGATTAAAATAGTAAAACAAGTGGAGATGAGCTGCTGGTTATGACGGATGGTGATGGTTGTGACGGAGCTGTAATCTGCCATCCCTGTTTCAGAGATGGGCTTGAGATGACTCCACCAAAGCCTCATAGGCCCTTGGGGACAGAACTGGGTTTGAACCTAGCCAGTTGCAGCTGGTCTTGGTCCACAAGCCACATTGAAGATGACCAGTGTGTGCTGAATGTGCTTGCCATGTGTCAGTCATGTTGGTGTGGAGAGGGTAACTAACATGGATTAGAAACTGTGCCAGCATACATTGTTTTATCTCTCTTTTAAAAAAAATTATTGATTTTTCAGAGAGGAAGGGAGAGGGATAGAGAGCTAGAAACATCAGTGAGAGAGAAACATCGATCAGCTGCCTCCTGAACCCTCCCCACCCTCTGCCCCCCGGGGATGTGTCTGCAACCAAGGTACATGTCCCCGATCAGAATTGAATCTGGGACCCTTGAGTCCGCAGGCTGATGCTCTATCCACTGAGCCAAACTGGTTTTGGCTGTTTTATCTCTTAATTTTTTTTTATTACAACATATCAGGGCAAGATGGGGGATTTTAGGTTTCAGGAGCCCATTTATAGGTAGTCCATTTTCAAGTCTAGTTTATTTTTTTAAAATATATTTTATTGATTTTCTTTTTTTTTACAGAGAGGAAGGGAGAGGGATAGAGAGAAACATCAGTGAGAGAGAAACATCAATCAGCTGCCTCTTGCACACCCCCTACTGGGGATGTGCTCGCAACTAAGGCACACGCCCTTGATCGGAATCAAACCTGGGACCCTTGAATCTGCAGACCGATGCTTTATCCACTGAGCCAAACGGATTAGGGCTCATGTCTAGTTTAATTGATGGTAATCCTTGCCTGTAGTATTATTTCCTCTGCCTTAAACCCAGCCTCTACCTCACTTTCCACCATCTCTTATTGGACTTTTAAAAACTATCTTAGAAAATGCCCACCCATCACTTACTTCTTTGCATTCTGATCAGAGTAACTATGTGTCCCAACCATAGGCAACTCAGTTCATCCTTAGAGTAACATATTGGCTTTCCTATACTTTGACTGATATACGTGCTGTTTCATATCATTTGTAATCTCACACGCTATTAAAATAGCAGAGTTATAGGTAAGAATGTCTGATATGTGCTTGCATCCCTCACGGTATTTAGTAGGAGATAGTAATTTAGAAGTTGGTGAGAGACAAATGTTTGGGTTCGAATCCTGGCTCCATGGCTACCAGCTGTGTAGTTGTGGATACATTTTCTTTGTGACTCAATGTCGTCATCTAAAAAATGGGGATCAGCCGAAGCTGGTTTGGCTCAGTGGATAGAGCGTCGGCCTGTGGACTGAAAGGTCCCGGGTTCAGTTCCGGTCAAGGGCATGTACCTTGATTGTGGGCACATCCCCAGTAGGAGATGTGCAAGAGGCAGCTGATCGATGATTCTCTCTCACCGATGTTTCTAACTCTCTATCCCTCTCTCTTCCTCTCTGTGAAAAATCAATAAAATATGTTTTTAAAAAATGGGGATCACTGTCCCCCTTCATAGGAACTAATGAGGAAAATGCATGCAAAATAGGGACTAGCAAAGGCTCAATAAATATCAACTAGACTTAGTCATTTGTTACTGCTGCCACACGTGTGGGTGCTTAGTGAAAAATTGGGACAGGTACAGATTTATTGCCATTTAGGGTAAGGGCATTTACAAACATTAGTGTCTCTGCCTATCTGAGTAGGAACGAAAGAGGATGATCTTCATTGTCGATCTGAAGGGAGAGGGGCGGTGGTCAGAACAAGCCACCTTTCCTTCTGCTCTGGGCAGCCAACGCCCCTGCCAGAGCCATCAGGAAGCACTGCACTGCACATGACTGTATGCAGACCCTGCATAAAAAGACTAGTAGGGAGATAAAAACTCGGTTCCCTGGGAGCTTACAAAATCAAGAACATTTTGATGGACATGTGAATTAGAACACAGTGGCAGGGGGAAAATCCATTAACATAAAATAGCTTTAAAATGGAAAGAAGCCTTAGACATTATTTTAATTGTCTAATTTTACAGATGGGAGGCCAAGGTTGACAGGCGTCAAATGACATGCCCACAGTCCCCAGGTCTGCGGGGGATGAGACAGAGATCCAGGTCTCCGGACCCCAGTGCTCCTTCCGTTCAGGGTCCCCGGGCCGCGAACCTGCAGGGGCCACAGCCATGCAGAACACGGGTGGATGGCAGTACCATTTCCATACTCTCCTAAATATAAACAGCAGACGTACATACTTTTGTGTTATGTAAAGAACATATATATTAAAGTTATTATGCGGTTGCAAGGAACTAGAATAATTAGCTGTGGAGATCTGGAAGAAATTATTCAAACATGTGTGTCCAGGCATTGTGATGGCATGAATTCATCCCAATCAGTCAGGGACGATTCTGTGAGGGGTTGTTTTCCAGAATTTCTGTTCCCATCATATAATGTGCTTCCCATAGGAAGGAATTAGAAATTTGAATCATTCACTGCTAGGGCCTTAGAGTTAAAAGGTCTCTGAAGAATTCAGGACAGCCCTAGCCAGTTTGGCTCAGTAGATAGAGCGTCGGCCTGCAGACTGAAGGGTCCCAGTTCTATTCTGGTCAAGGGCACATGCCTGGTTGTGGGCTTGATCCCCGGTAGGGGGCATGCAGGAGTCAGCCTATCAATGGTTCTCTCTCATCATTGATGTTTCTTTCCCTCTCCCTTCCTCTCTGAAAAAAAAAAAATTTTAAATCAGTACATCCATTCGATTATTTCTTTCTGATTTTTATTCTTACCCATCACCAAAGAGATGAATGTCTGCAACGGGGGACATTTTATAACCACACAAAGTCTAATCTCAGAAAGTCCTTCCACATGTCTAACTTCAATCTCTCTTGCTGCAATTTAAACCGCGGCACTTACATTATTCCTTTTAGTGAATGTAGATTAACCGAGACATGCCAAATAAACTCATCCCTTGTTCTCATTTGGAGAAGGTTTTCTGTATTCAGACTGCAGTCCTTTTCAAATCTCAGAAGCCTTATTCCCTTACATGGTGTCATGTACACATGGATGACTTTAGGAAATAAATTAAGTGAATGAAAAATAAGATAATACTGAACCAAGGGCGACAGGAGGAGAACATAAACTGTTTTATTATTTTCAAAGCAACTAAATAGAAGGTTGATTGGGAAAATGAGAGAAAGAGGGGCGAAAAAAAACAACCCTGTCATTGAATGATATTTTTATCAGAGAAGAAAATAGGTACCAAGAAATGAGATTTGACTTCTCTTTGCAAGTTTCACCGAGCATGAAAATGTCCCTTTAAATTTTCCCGTAAGCCGTGGCTGGCTGTGGGATTTTTCCAGTGCAGAGGGAATCTGAGTTCAGGAGGCCAAAGAATGCCAGAAGGAAAGGGATTTTGATGCTTGGGGCTCTGAGACTGTCAGTTTAAAAAATGAAAGTAATATAGAAGGGCCAAAGTGGCATTTATCATTCCATCTCTCCAGGCTCCTGTCTCTTTAATCAGCTAGCCTGATTTGCCCAGTAAATGATTCGTGTGTGTGTGTGTGTGTGTGTGTGTGTGTGTGTGTGCTCGCGCACCCGCGCGCGGGTGTTGTAGCTCTGTCAATCCTTGGATTAGAACCAATGATTGCAGCTTGTAGGAGGGCTGTCCAGGGCCAGATTGTGCGATGTGTCTCGGTGCCAGAGTATGAGTAGAGATAATTACTGAGAAGTCACACTCTCTCACACCCTCTCGGCTGGCTTTCTTGCCGTGTCCTTCAGCGACACAGTGGATTTACATCTCCTTCCAGGAGCTGGAGAGCGACGCGATCTGTCAGGAGAGAAAGGAGGAAAAAACCGAACCTGACAAAAAAGAAGAAAAAGAAGAAGAAGAAAAAAAGAAAAAAAAGAAAAAGCATGAAAACCATCCAGGCAAAAATGCACAATTCTATCTCTTGGGCAATCTTCACGGGGCTGGCTGCTCTGTTTCTCTTTCAAGGTAAGCACTTGCTATTGATTTGCCTACCGTAGAGCCGGGGATGGTACGGAGAGCAGAGCTTTATGCGATTCGCAGACTCCCCGGTCGGCTCGCTGCGCGGTTTGCAGGTGGAGGAGAGAGCGTTTCAAACAGCATGGCTGGGACTCCATCCTCCCTACCAGGCTGTGAGGATATTGATTCGATTCTGGCTGCTGCTGCTGCTGGAATGGGGGGTGTATATGCTTAAGTAAAAGGTGTCTGACTCCTGTGTAGGTGCGTGGCTGTGTGCTGCTCTCCCCAGCTTTATGTACATTCTTGCACACACACACACACACACACACGCACACGCACACGCACACATGACAGAGCACATGCAGAAGTGGGGAGGGGGTGAGGGGGGGAAATGACAGATTCCCAGGGCAGCAGGGTCGCTAATGTGTTGCTTGTGTTACTGGGAAGAAATGACAGGAGGAAACTTTAAAATATCTGCCAGGAAACTTGCAAGGCTCCCAAAAGGAGGCGAGGGAGAAGGCAGGCTAGAAATAAGCAGGTACCTGCATCCTGCACGGCTCTGGCCAGAGGGAGACCCGGCGTGAAGGGATGAAGCGGTTTGCAGCCTCGGTGAAACAACTGCATTAGTTTTGAATGTGTTTGGGGGTGTGTTTGTGGCGGAGGTGGGGGGTTGGTGGGGGTGAGGGTAGGGGAGAGACAAGGAGCCGCTGAGCAGCAGCGGGAACAGGCACGCCTTGCACAGGGCTCTGAAATTCGGAACAGCGTTTCTAAGTTGCAGGGAGAGAGGCAGTAAGAGCCGAATGCTAATTTTCTGTTTATTATTGGACTGGAAGCCAAGCTGTGGGCTGCAGCTGAGGTCTGGGCTTGCTCCTGGGCCAAGTGCGTGCTCTGATCTTGACCGTGTTGGGTGCCTTTGGAATCGGCTTCAGTCCCGGGTCCATTTGCTGCACTGACTGGTCCCCCACTCTGTCCCAGCTCTTCCGTTCCAGCAGCAGCAGTATCTGCTCACCTGCTCCTCCCACCCACACTGCCCTTGGGCGGGGGGGGGGGGGTTGTCTGACTTGGTTTGTGTTTTGTTTTGTTTTTTTCATATTAAAGGCAGCTGAACTCGTAGGGACTGAGACAGGCGGAGAAACTTTCCCTGGGTGATCCAGCAGGCAGAAGCTCTGACCTGGACAGCTCTGTTCCCCGAGGAAAGTTTGGCCCTTCAGGGGAGAAAAGGATGGGGACTCCCACCCACCTCTTCCCTTCTCCTCCTGCAATATGGGGTTTGCATGGTCTCCACTGAATCCCCACCTGGAGTCCTGACCCATCTCTGAGGGTAGGCTTTGGATATTGCTGCTGTCCCCTCCACATTGGTTTTAGGGGCTGCCATGGGGCCCACCCAAGGTGCACAGAGGCACAAGGATGGGAAGAATCGAATGTGGGTGCACACTTGGCTGGGGCTCAAGGGGGCCTGGAGGGCTCCGAGTCGGATGGCAAGGAAGTCACACTGGCGGGTCCTGCCGGGACAGCCTCGATGGCGCCTGCAGTTCCAGCCTCGGGACCTCTCTCCTCTCCCATGGAGGCGTCAGTGGGGGGAGAATGAGGAGCTAACTTGGAGGCATCCTTGAATGACTCCTCTTACGTAACATGGAGCAGCGACAGCGTGTGTGTGTGTGTGTGTGTGTGTGTGTGTGTGTGTGTGTGTGAGCTTCTGTGTGTGCAGGGGTATGTGTGCACCCAGCCTGTTCGGGGTGCAAGGACTCACACAGGGAGATCAGAACCCCAGCCCTGGCCGTGGGGATACAGTGAGCTCAGGGCCAGGGTATCCTGGGGAAATGGCTCCTGCGGTGCTAGCCACAGAAACGAGGAAGGGAAAGCACAGGTCCGAGTCCTGGATCACTTCCCACTTGTCCTGAGAGATCTGTGCCTTTTCTATCTGTAACATCAAACCCGAGACCACAGCCAAACTTCCCCCACTGGCTGCATGCCAGGAGCCCCGGGGCCAAACGGAATTTACATATAAATTAGCATACGTGATTATTTTTTCATCAGAAATAAATGCGGGGAAGCATAATATTTGCTTAGACTTTGAATCATCCGTGAATACATGAGTGGAAAGTGCTGGTGCCCCACTCCCCGGGGTGCAGTCTGGTTTTTGTGATCTTGCTTCCATCTTGGGGTGGGGATGGAGGCGACAGGGGTGCTTCAGACCTCCTCGCAGGCTCCCACATCCCAGATTTCCTAAGGAAAAACATGGCCTAACCAGTGCTCCCCACCTCAGAGCCAGCGCTACACCGGCTTCAGCCTGTCCTTACAGAACTAGGCTGCCTGTATTTAAAGCAGAGGGACCCCCTAAGACCCCCACACCACATGCAGGTTGGACCAGCAAAGGTGGCGGCTGCTTTCTCGCTCAGGGATGGGACTGGGAACCTGCCAGCTAGCTCTTATCAAACTTGCAGAATTACTGAGGCAGCCCAGGTCTTGGCTGCAATAATCCACCCCTATTGCATTGACCCAGTGGGACTAGTTAGAATGCAGCACACATTCCCAGGCAATTTTTTTCTCCTCCTCTGTTTTTGTTTTAAGCTGGCTCTTTCTGGAGCTGCTGCTTGGGGTGGCTTGCCTTCTGGAAAAGGTGTGTGCGGGCCGGTGGCAGGTGATGGACCCCTGGCTGACCTGCCCCCACCCCAACTCCCAACCAGCATCCATGATCCAACGTAGAAGGAGGAGGCTTCTGAGGGAATCTTCTCTGATTAGTGATGGGCAGGAGGCAGAGAGGGAGGGGTGATTAGTGATGGGAGGGAGGAAGGAAGGGAGGGGTGATTAGTGATGGACAGGAGGGAGGGAGGAAGGGGTGATTAGTGATGGGAGGGGGCAGGGAGGAGTGATTAGTGATAGGAGGGCCAAGGAGGGGTGATTAGTGATGGGCAGGTGGGAGGGAGGAAGGTAGGGAGGAGTGATTAGTGATGGGCAGGAGGGAGGGAGGGAAGGAAAGAGGGAGGGGTGATTAGCACCCTGGGGCTCTGGCCCTAGGGCAGCCTGGGTTGATGAACCAGCGCTCCTCTCCCTGGGAACAGGAGTGGGGGAAGGGGGACCCCCGATTGGGCAATGTCCCTTTTAGCACCCCGCCCACCTTCTGTCACCCAGAGGCTCTGAAAGAATGGCTGGCTGTACTGCAGATTTTCTCTTTCTAGAAACCCAACCATTTCTCTTTCGAAGGATTGCTACTCTTTTTTACACCTTCCGGGGAGTGTGGCTGGATTCCCATCTCACCTTTCTCATCTTCCCTTCCTTCCACATCCGCTTCTCTGCCCACTCGAGCCGCGTGCAGGGCAGAGATGGGAAGGGACACCGGGCCGAATTCACACTCTCCTTCACTCAGCGCCCACGGCATGGAGTCCGCTCAGCTGGGCAGCCCAGCCAAGTTCCTGCCACTCACTGCCAGCTTCTGGGTGCCAGCAGCAGCCCGCGCTGGGCAGTGCTGCTGAGAGGGGAGGGAAGCAGTGGAGGCCATAGCAGTGTTTACTGGCAAAGTGAAAAATCAGCTCGGGACGATGGGATCCTGGCCTTTGTGAGCGCTTGGAAGCGTGGCCACAAATAAAGCGAAGGAATAAATTGGAACCGAGGCAGGGAACAGGGACAGACGCTTACGGAGTGGATCCCAGCTGCTGTGCTCGGAGCTGCCCAGCCGGGGCAGGTTATGGGCAAGCTGAACACAGCACAGAGAAGGCCGTGCCCCTCCACCCTCCTACCCAGGTGGCCCCTGAGCGCAGGCCTGGCTGCAGGACATGCCTGCTGGGAGCAGCAGGCCTCACTCACAGAGGCCGTTCTTGGGATTACAGCTCTGCAGCCAGGTGCCAAGCCTGGTCCTTGTGCTGGTCCCTCCTTTAGGGCACTTTTATTTATTTTTAAATATGATTTTATTGATTTTTAGAGAGGGAGGAAGATATATATATATATATATATATATATATATATATATATATATATATATATATTATATAGCAATAAAAGAGGAACATCATCAATCGGCTCATGCACATCCCCTACTGGGGATTGAGCCTGAAACCCGGGCATGTGCCCAGACTGGGAATCTAACCGGTGTCCTTTTGGTTCTTGGGTTGATGCTCAACTGCTGAGCCACACCAGCTGAGCCTTTTCTGCACTTTTAAAGCCAAATAGAAGCGCAAAGGGTTAGCTTCAACTCCTAATCCCCACTTCTGTGGGTTCTCAGTAGGTGTCTCCCGCAGTGCCTGCACGTAGGCGTGCTGACCCGTGTCGTTAGGGGTCATGATGTTCCCCGCTTGCGGTGCTTTGCTCCAGGCGGTCCTCCAGCACTTCCCGGGGCCCTGTCCTCCTCATACATGCAGTCCTGAGACACACCAGCCTCAGATGAGTGTCACGAGTGGGCTGCAGGAGCCACTGCTGGCTTCACCCAGTTTGCCCCTCGGGTGGGAGTGAGCTCCCTTGACATCCTAAGAAGTGACAACGGGACACTGGATGCAGGCAGGCGGGGAAACACGTGCTGGGAAGAGGTACAAGGCTCTTGGCTGCCGGCTTGTGGTGACGGCACTTTGGATGGGACTGTTTCCTATGGGATTTGACTCTGTTCCAGGTTTTTCAGTTTAGAGCTGACGGCCTGTACTAGCCCACCAACTAGAATGCTGGAAATGCAAAAACAAAACAAAATAAAACAATACAAAAAGCACATTGCTTTCGATGTAACCTCTGCAGAGTCTTCAAGCAGGCTGATCCACATGCCGGCCAGATCCCAGGCCAGTCCTGAGCCCAGCTCGGGGGCGCCTGGCCACCTAAGCTCAGAGCCCGCCATGTGTTCTGTAGGGGAACACCGTTCCCTGTGTGAGCCTGTCTCCCCACCTGCCTGCCAGGCTGGGGCCCACATCCCCTGGGTGTTATAAGGACTCATTAATGGCTGTAACACCCCAGACATGTGGTGCTAAGTGGAACTCCATGCTGAGACGGGTTGTATTTATGCCGTTTACTTCCTTTCTGCTCTGTTGGCT